GGTAAACACTATTCACCCCTTCTCTCCTAGACTTAATTCATAAACCTAGTTTCTGGTACAAAGAATAGGAAATAGAGGAGAGGCATGGTAGACTATAAGTGCCTTGAGGGAAGGATCGTTATCCTTACTTTTGTCTTCAAGTCTTCCCTCCTCCACTTAGCTGTGTCCAGCCTAGAATGAGGACTTATAAAATGCTGATTGTGTTCATTTTAATTTTATCTCTCTAGCGGGCCGTCTCCAGTCGTCCTGATCTACATCTGGCCACTGGATTCAGATGGCTCCGGAGGAGAAAGTGAGGCTGGTGACTTTGCACAGCCCTGCCTCACTTAAATCCAATCTACTTGCAAGTCATGGCATCATCTTCCTGATATCATGGTCCTCTTCAAGAACGAAGGACAAACTATGACATCTCTCTAGCCTATGGCTTAACCTGGGCTCTGTGAACTGAAAAAATAACATTTTTAATAATTTTATTTCAATGTACTTTGTTTTCTATTTTAAATTTTTATTTATTAGGAATTCTTTATTTTGTTTTATGCATGATTCTGAGAAGGAGTCCACAGGCCACACCAGACTCTGCCAAAGTGGTCCATGACCTCAAAAAAGATTAAAAGCCCCCTTCCTTACTTGTTAATGTCTTTTGCATCCTCAAATAGTATTTATTTACTAAACTGTTGACCCACTGTATCCTCCTCCAGTAGAATGTAAGTTCCTTGAGGGCTGAGACTTCTTCTCATTTTTGTCTTTGTAACTCTAATGCCTGGCACAGTGCCTTATTATACATTATAGCCACTTATAAATACTGCACACAGTAGGTACTTAATAAATGCTTGGTGAACCAAATGGAATACAACTGGATGATGGGAATATAAGCAGCATTATTTCTGTTGTAATTGTTTACAGAAATGCTATAGCATCGATGACTGTAGGACAGGGACTGTCTGTGCTTTCATCGATATAGTTCCCAGATGTGGGAACTCCTTCTCCCATTGCAGGTTGGCATCTTCTCTGCAACTTGGTCCTGGAGCACTGAGAGGTTAAGTGATTTGCCCAGAGTCACACAGCCAGTATTTGTCACAAGCAGGGCTTGAACCCGGATCTTCCTGGGCCCCTTGAAGGCAGTAACGGTTTCTCTTTTTTCTTTGTACCTCCAACGTGTAACACAGTGTGGCACATAGCCCATACTTAATAAATGCTTTTTGGATGATTGATAGGAGCATAAATTTGAAGCTTTGGAAACCCCAAAAGCCATTTAGTCTAAATTGATTTTAGACTATTTCACTTTACAGATGAGGAAACTGAGTTCTGGAGAAATTCATAGGCTTATAGCTTTTGAGTTACAAGGATCCTCAGAGGACATCTACTTCAACTGCCTCCTTTTAGAATTAAGTGAACTATGGGGCAGCTAGGTGGCGCAGTGGATAGAGCACCAGCCCTGAAGTCAGGAGGACCTGAGGTCAAATCTGGCCTCAGACCAAACACTTGACACTTAATAGCTATGTGACCCTGGGCAAGTCACTTAACCCCATTTGCCTTAAAAAAAATTATACTCAAAATTTAAAAAAAGAAAGAAGTGAACTAAGGCCCAGGAAAGACAGATAATTGATTTAAAAAAAAAAATCACACAGATAGTGAGCACTGATGGCAATGTCCTCTGATGACAGACCAGGTTCTCTTTCCATCATACCACACTGATGCAGAGGTCAGGTAGTTACTCCTGGAATGCAGGGTATGAGACAGAGAATCATATGGAATCTGACTAATGATAGTGATGCTCATTGTTAGATATGAATGATACAGACAATGAGGAGATCAGAAGGAAAACTCACCTCTGGCTGAACCCAGTAATCACCACACTCCACTGGGTATATCCCCAGACTCCATGGCCATGATGTCTGCCATTTACAGGAATTTCAAATTCTTTATTTAGCATGAGACGTCAAGAAAAGGAAATAGTGCCCAACAAGTCTATACCACAGTGTGACACAGATTTCAAAAACTGACCAGAAGCTGGGTCCGTGAGAAGAGGTGCAAGAGTCTCCCAGATCCATAGCTAAGAGCAGTGAATTAATTAAATGAGCCATAGACTGGATCTCTGTTTGCAGATGTTTATTGAAGAATTATTTGACAAAGGAAACAGAAAGGAAGGGGAAAGTTGTGTCTGTTTTGACAGGACAGGTATTTGAGCAGTCCTGTGACCTAGTTTGCAACATTGGCATAAATAATGAAATGGAAAGACTCTTTAACTGGAGTATTCCTCAAGCCCATATGTGGTCATGGATTTATGGTCTATTAAGCACAAGAAGGACTCTCACCACATCCTAGGCACAAAGTTACAAGGCACAGCACATGCTGGACAGCACAAGAACGGAGCAGAGCAGAGAAACAGAGTTTTCAGGAATAGAACCAAACAGTTATTCAAATGGTACAAAGTATATACATTTTTAAAAGTTTCTGCTTTTTAAACCAAAGAGACGTGTCCACTAAGTATTTTTTCCCTCTTCACCTCCCCTCCCCTGATCTTCCCTCCTCCTTTTCCTCTTCCCTGTCTTTCCCCTCCCCTCTCCTGTCTTTCCCCTTCCCTCCCCTCTCCTTCCCTGCCCTCCCTTCCCTTTCCCCTCTCCATCTTCTCCCTTTTCCTTTCTTTCAGATACCTAATCAGCCTAACCTACCACACTCATAGCTCAGAGCTCCCAAATCAAGAGATCTACCTGCCTCAGCCTCCCTGCTGGCTGGAATTATAGGCATGTGCTAACCCTGCCCAGCCCAGTAAAGTTTTTCTAAATAGTTTTACTCATTGAGTCCTGGGGGAGAAGGGAGAAGAGGATGTCTTCTAGTAGAAATAATCATAAGCATTTATACAGAATATTCTTATGGCTACACACACACACACACTATATATATGTGTGTGTGTGTGTGTATATGTATGTATGCATGTATATATACACACAATATGTATCTATATTTTTGTCTACATCTTATCTCCTCTGATAGGACGTAAGCTCCCTGAAGATAAGGACGGTTTCATTTTGTCTTTGTGTCCAGTTTATTCTTTCCTGGGATCTTTCTTTTCAATGTGTTCTGATAGAAACTACAAAACAGCCTAAAAAAGAAAATGAAAAGCCAACCAGAAGTCCTAAAAGAGCACATGTCATTAGCCAAAATCAGAGGTGGCTTTCTCTAAAATAACTTCAGTTACCTGTTTCCAGCTAATGAAATACCATGTCTGTCTAATGTAATAATGTCATTGTGTAAACAAGTCAGTCCCCTGGAAGTAAAAGAGGCCAGGTATGTACACTACGCACATACAAAGCAGTCTGAGATAAGTCAGGACAAAACACATACTCGAAACATTAAATTTCAGCCAGGTGGCCAGTGATCTTGAAAATCTTTAAGTTCAATGAAGCAATGAAGGAGAGATTTGTTGGATAAGTCATCTTTGTGGAAATACAGTTTATTTGTCTTTGTAGATCCCACCCCTCATACTTTAGGGGCTGTACTTCAAGCCATAAGGATGCTACAAGGCACATGAGACTCGACTGGCCTAAGGACTTATTATACCTTTCTAAAGTAGGGGCTCTTAACCTTTTTGTAACACAGTCGCCTTTGGCCATCTTTGGACACATAGGCCATCAGCTTTTGGACATATAATTACTTTTTTAAATGCATATGATAAAATACACAGGATTACAAAGGAAAGCAGTTGTATTAAAATACAGCTATCAAAATATATTTTTCAAAAGTTCATAGATCAGCCAATAGCTCACAGATACTCAGATTCCTTAAGAGTCTGGCTAATATGGCAGATCTTTAATAAACCTTGTCTTTGGCTGAAAAAAAAAGTTCATAGATCCCAGGTAAAGAACTCTTGTCCTAAAGAGACTAATGGACTCCCAGAAATTAACTGTCATCACTTTGGTGACACCAAAGCACCCAGTGAATTTAGCAATTTAAATGAAACAATTTGTCATTTCATTGAGGAGATGGATTTACCCACATGGAACTGACCTGCCAGTTCTATCAAAATGGCATATACAATGGCCCAAGGACAAACAGTACGTAATAGTTTAATGTCATGCAGGATTAGGAACAGGGATAATGACAACACCAATGATTTCATTGAGATAGGGAACTCCCAGGTGAAAAAACTCCTTTTATTAATGTAGGTTGGTGACTTGCTGAGGGTCACAGAGCCAGTGTGTATGTCAGAAGTGGGAGATGACTACACATCTTCTTGGTCACAAAGCTAGTTCTCTGGTCATTCAGTGAAGATTAGGGAAAATAACTTTTTGATTAACCAATATGTGATGTATGTACCACAAAATGTAGGTATAAAAGTAGACTTGGGACATTTGAAAATTTCCAGAAATAGAAAAGGGAAATAGACATCCATTTAAACCTGTTACAGTTGCCATACATTTAGTCATTTGTCAAAAAATAAAAATGGTGGGATACAATCATCGGACCACAGATTTCAAGCTGGAAGGAACCTCAAAGGTCAACTAGTCTAACTCCATCATACTACAGGTGAGGAAACTGAGGCCAAGTGAGTTGTCCAAGATCACATAAGTAGTAGCAAAGCAACATGGGATATGTATATGGGAGACTAGCTGAGAAAAGTCCGAGTCAATAATTATTAGAATTTAATGGTTTTTGTATTCATTCAAATTAAAAAAATATTTTCCAATTGCATGAGAGTTCTTTCTTTATGGCTTAAGTCACTTGTGAATTTCTGCTAGATCAATTTCACCAGAAGCATCCTAACTTTTGTGTTCATTCCAGAGCTTTATGGGTCCCCACATGCAAATCTAATCTGCAACCTCTGTTTGATTGTTAAGCTGAATAAAGCATTTGTTTTTTTTAATTATTTTTTTAATTAATTTTTTTATTTTTTTAGGCAATTGGGGTTAAGTGACCTGCCCAGGGTCACACAGCTAGTAAGCGTCAAGTGTTTGGTCTGAGGCCGGATTTGAACTCAGGTCCTCCTGACTTCAGGGCCGGTGCTCTATCCACTGCGCCACCTAGCTGCCCCTGAATAAAGCATTTGAAAATGCTTTCCAGTTTCATTGATTGAGTATTGGAGCAGATAATTAAATACCATGAAAACAATAAAATATCTTAAATGCTCATAGTGTCTCTTCTCCCAAGTTTAAAAAAGTTATCTAAAAAAATGACACTGAGGAGATGATTCTCAGAATTCTTCACTAACTATAAGATCACAGTATGCTGGCTATGTAATGAAAGATGGCTCCATAAAATGTTAATTATAAGGCATTTCAACCAAGGTAAAATTGTTTTCCATATATTCAGGACTACATGGAGATGATTGGTTTTGAATACCTTCTGTATTTATATTTATCACTAACGTTCCTTTTCACTGAATATTCTTCATCATTGTAAAAAAGCACATCTAATTTCATATTTAGCCACCCAAAACAAAGTAGCATGAAAGCCTTTCTCTGCTCCAACATATTTCAAGGCTCCCTTCTCCTTTCCCTGGTTCAGCACCAGTGTGTGAATAGACAGTCACAGGTAGTGAACACAACAGGAATGTTAGAAAAGAGCCCTCTGATGAGTGGTTCAATCAAGCCAAATTCTTCATACAACAAAAGCCTCGCCTTTTTTCCTAGTCTTTCCCCCAACCCCATGAATCCCAGATGGCAAAAGGATAACTCTTCTTAGGGTGACTCCCTACCTATTTCCAAACCTATCTTTGAACATCTTACCAAGGTCTACTGCATTATGGCTTTCAAATCAGAATCATGACTGTTTACTTAGGAATTTATTTTGCTCATGTGTTGATACTCAATTCTGTCCATGCCCGAGAACTGTCATCTTTCATAGTGGACAACTTCCTCTGGGAGAACTGGCCAAGGCCCCAGAGCCTGAGGACAGCCATGCGGTATTTCTTGGACATGATGTTGTAAAGGATGGGGTTGATGGCTGCACTGAGATAGAAGAGGACAAAGGAGAACAGGTTGCAATACTGGCTAATCACCGCAATCTCCAAAGAGCCAGGCTCGAAGGATTTGGAGAATAAGTAGCGTCCCACATGAAATGGCAGCCAACAGAGGACGAAAGCAAACACCACCACGGCTAAAAGGAAAATCAGAAAAACTTAGCATGAGATCAAGCAATGTTGCCTTGAATCATGTTCTGCTAATAAAAAAAAAAGATTCCATTTCTTTTGAAAGCCTTTGTGGACAGGAGAGTGTGATTCATCTCAGACAAAGGGCCAAATGTTGTTTTTCCCTATTTCCCTTCCCTGGGGTTTAATGAGAGTTATTTCTAAATGCAAAACTAATCCAGCTATTTGGACCAAGGTGACCAATCAGTTCAGTGTAACAATGGTCTACCAGAGAGGCAGCCAAGCATGGCCAATGGTGTGATGAAATGAGAGTCAGAAACACCTAGGCTCAAATCTCATTTCATGGGATCATGTATTTAGAGCTAGAAAGGCCCTCAAAGGTCATCATTTTACAGCTGAAGAAACTGAGGCCAAAGAGCCTAAAGAGACTTGTCTAAGGTCACATGAGGCATGATTAGACCCCTCTGACACTTATGAGTTATATGGCCATGAATAAGTCACTTAAGTCTCAGCTTCCTTAATAGTAAAATGAGGATAATTAATACCTGAAGTACATATATCACAGGGTTTTTTGCAATATTCAAATTAGATAATGCTCGCAAGACACTTTGCAAACATTGATGTACTATCTAAATTGAGAACCAGAAGGACCTTAAAAGTTATCAGGTCCAGTCTTCTCATTTACATAAGAAGAAACTGAGGCCTAGAAATTAAATGGATCAGAATTCAAAGTTATGTCTTCTCATTCCAAATCCAGTGATCTTCTCATTATTCTAAATCCAATGGTCTTCCCACCATCTAATCAGTGTCAGGCATTATTATTTTATGATTAAGTTAACTGGATATTGGGGGAGATGACTAGGAAATCCATTTTTGAAAATTCAGTTTTTGATGCATATAGACACAGCTAAGACTGTGTCAACTTTCTTCAAGACTCTTCTACATGAAACTGCTAATGCCCTCCCTCCAAACCATTTTGTATTTAGCAGCTTTTCATTTATTTGTATTCATTCTCTAAATGCTTATCCTTGCTGTCTCCTTCACTAGAATGAAAGCACCTGAAAAGTAGGAATAATTTCATTCTTTGTGCTTGTATCTCCAGCACCTAGGACAGTGCCTGGCACATAGAAGGCACTTAACAACTGCTTGTTAGTTAGGTGATGATCATTACAATATGTTAAAAGGGAGGAGGAGCAATGATTAACATTTTAACATTAAACATCCCTGAAAAAAATGTCATCAGCTTACTTTTTTAATATATTACATTGAGATGTCAACTTCTAGACAAGGTAAAAAGATTTTTCTGAGCCCAGCAAAAGCAACATGAAAAAATTCTGTGTAGGAAAGTAACTTTCAAATCTTTGTTACTGGGCTGTTTTGGTGAGGCAAATATTCCTGGATCACCTGGCTCACTCATTTCTTTGACCAGGGGTGGGGGAAAGAGGTGTGTGGAGGTAGCTTCCCTGAATTGCTGGGAAAATGGGTTTACTTCTGATGAGACACTAATGAGACAATGGTTTTAAAAAATAAATGCTGTCATAGCCTATGGACTATTAGGATTAGAAGGGTGCCATATTTCAGATGAGGAAAGTGATACCTAGAGAAGAGAAGTGATTTGCCCAAGGTCCCATAGGTGCCTAAGCTGAAGGATTCAGGCCCAGGTCTTAGAATCTATAGCCTCTGATTTCCACTGAAATGAAATGACTAATTCCAGAAACAAGAACAACAAAAGACCTTGCTTTATTATGAATGCAATGAAGTCAATCCATGGCCTATAGACCACCTTCTGAGAACCTTTGGTCTACATGATGAAAACCTTGGGCACTCTTGGTGATGAATTTCATCCATTTGACATCCAGTAATCCAGAAATTCTTAAAATGAGAAAATAACAGAGGACCTTGGACCTGCATACTGGACCTGTCATTTCATTCATATAGTGAACTCCTAGATAGAGAAACTCCCTCTATCAATACAAAGTAAAACTTTCTCTGTAATTTATAGTCTTAGAAAGTTGTGTAGAGCCCTGAGAGGCTGAATGAATTGGCCAGGGACACACAATTCAACGTGTCTCTGAGGTGGGACTTAGATCCCAGTGTTTTGGGCTCTAAAACCAGTCAATGCTAGGCTTCATCTTGTTCAGAGATTCTTAAAATCACAAATATGAAACCTCTGTTTATTCTGCTCCAAATGATACTAAATATGCAAAAAGTGAATATAAATATTTCCCAGGATGCTAAGATTTACCACTTGTGAAGGTGTACATAATAGATTTGGAGTTTCATGTGCAACCATCTTTTTTATTATACTATATTATGGAAATGTTTATTTTATTCCATAAGTTAAAAAAATAAAATAAATTTTAAAAAAGGTTTAGACAGGCAGATTCCATTTCCTGATAGACTTGACAGCACAACTTTTGGAAGTTAAGCTATAGATAAAATGTGGGTTTGAAGGCATTTTTAGTTGATAAAAATGTATGGAGCGTAGACTTTGTGTGCATAGTTCTGGGTTCTAATTTATGGTTGTGGACATATTTAGGGAGAATAAATACAATTTAATTTTGGCTGCTTATAAGATTAACTGAAACTAACTCTCACTTTTAAACTAAAATGTACTAATTCTCACTTCTCATTGAACCTAGGGGCGATTTACTAAAGAATTCTTTGGGAAGGAACAACTTCCCAAACTGATGTTGGTCCCTTCAGATAAGTTTTACTTGATCAAACTGGGGCACTTCCTTCCTAGTAACTGAGCAGATATAAAAGACCCAAACTGGACAGATGGAGAACTTTACCAAGTAGGGGAAAGTCTACAGTTGGCATTTGGGTTGTGTGGCCAGCAGTCAAGTGGAACAAAATTGCTGCAATCATTCAAATAATGCACAAAGAAGGAAACTGACATAGAAGCAAAAATTGATTTTTTGGTCTCAATTATCTACTTGGAGTGCACATACTAATGTTGCATATCTACCAGCTTAGAACTCAACTCTTTGCTAGAGTATTTTTAAGGCTATGCTATTTTCTTAAATTTAATCAGTTACCTGCAAATCAGAGAATAGGAGAGGAGCTGGGGAAACTGTTTCATTTTCCCCTGAACATAAACACAATAATAAGCTTCTCTATGATGTATGTTGGTTTCAAAGTCAACTTAATTTGGAAATGATGAGACATAACATTTGATATTTGGGGTGCATGAAGAGGCATGATGTTCCTAAATACTTTTTTGAGGAAGTGAAGGACAGGAAGGAGAAGGGAAGGGAGACAGAGACAGAGAGACAGAGAAAGGTAAAGATACAGAAAAAAGAAAAGAGAGAAGGCAGAGAGAGAGAAAAAGATGGAGACTGGGAGAGAGAGTTGGAGAGAATGAGAGAGGAGAGAGAGGGAGAGAGGAAAGGGAGGCAAAGAGAATGAAGGGGGGAAATGGAGAAAGAAAGACAAAGGGGAGAGAAAAGAAAGAAAGATAAGGCAAGAAAGTGAGAGGAGAGATAGAAAGGGGTAAATGAGGGGGAGAGAAGAGAGGGACAGAGAAGAGAATGAGAGAGATGGAGGGAGAGAGAGAGAGAGAGAGAGAGAGAGAGAGAGAGAGAGAGAGAGAGAGAGAGAGAGAGAAGAAGGGAAAGATGGGGAAGGAGAGAAGTAAAAATCCCATACCTAACATTTTTACAGTTTGTTTGTGGTTGTTATCACGGATAGAAGCACTCAGTCCCATGTCCTCCCTCTTCCTTCTCCACAGTTTTCTTCCAATGAGGCTGTAAAGCACAGTCAGGCAAAACACCGGCAGAAAAAAGAAGATGCTGGAGATCCAGACCATGATGGTGAGCAGTCCCGATTGGATGGCAAACTCAGTGGGCCTGCATTCGTTGGTGTCCATGGGGTTGGTTCCATTTTCGTGCTCCACTCCTACCAGGACAAAGATGGGGCCAGCGCTGAAGAAGGACACGGCCCAGATGACCAAGATGATAAGCTTCACCTTGCCCTTCGTGATCACGACCTTGGCCCTGAGGGGGAAGCATATGGCAAAGTACCTCTCGATGCTGAGCGCAGTGATGTTGAGGATGGTAGAATAGGTGCAGCTCTCACTGATGAACTGGAAGAGTTTGCAGAGAAAGTCCCCGAAGTTCCAGGGCCGGTACTGCCAGAGGCGAAAGAGATCCAGGGGCATGCAGAGGAAGATCAGCAAGTCGGACAGCGCCATGCTAGACAGGTAGAGGTTTGTGGTGGTCCGCATGTCTCGGAATCGAGACACCACCAGCATGGTCATGAGGTTGCCCGAGATGCCGATGAAAAAGAGAGCGATGCAGGTGACTGTAACCCCGGTGAGCAGGGCTCCAGGGAAGGGGGGCAGCTGGTCCACCCAGGAGCTGTTGAAAGGTTCATCCGTGTAGTCCAGGCTGAAGTTGGACTCGCTTTCCAGGCTCAGTGTCTTGTTCCACATCCTGCTGCCTATTGGAGAGTCTTGCTAGAGATACTGACGAGGCTGGGCTGAAGATGCTTTGCGCTAGGTGAGATGCTGCTGCTGAGCGTCCTTCCTGGTTTCGGGTGCCACTGGTCTTTCACGCCGCCCCACTAGGGCTAGGACGGAATCACAGCGCGGCTGCAGGGGGGTTGACTTCAAAAGGCAGCTGAGAAGCTGTGAGGAAGCGGCGGTGGGGCAGAGGAGGGAAAGGAGAATAGGAGGAAAGTGTGTGTGTGTGTGTGTGTGTGTGTGTGTGTGTGTGTGTGAGAGAGAGAGAGAGAGAGAGAGAGAGAGAGAGAGAGAGAGAGAGAGAGAGAGAGAGAGAGAGGAAACAGCAAGAGAGGAGTGAGAGATGAGGGGAGGAGAGAGTAGGGAAAGGGATAATGAGTGAGGAAGAAGGGGAAATAAGAGAAGAAAAAAGAAGAGCGCTCTGGTGTCTGGTCCTGGACAGCAGCAGCCCTGGCAGTCTGGCAGTAGTGACCCTAGTCACTGCTGCACCCTCCTCCTCTGGCTCCTCCCTCTCTGTTCTCCCTTGTTGGGATGCTGCTGTTCATTCTGGTTACCAGGGGGAAGGTCCAGGTTCCACTCCCTTAGAAAAGAGGGCATCATGTATCAGTGCTTCCAGCTGCCTAAATAGGCTTCCTATGCCTGCTCCCCAGCAAGCTCCATCCCAGCCTGTGTGTTCCAAAGACCTCTGGGCAGGTGTACCTTGCAGCTGCCTCCCAGGCACCAGGGACTGGTGGGTGACACAGGGTAATGTATAACACCGCTCTTAGCTGGGATCCCCATCACTCCCTTGCGCTGAGAACGGTGAGGTTAAAGACCACCAGTAAGTCTCTTAAAAACAAAAACTCTCTGGGCCTCACTTTCGCCATCTGTAAAATGAAGGGCCTGAGCTAAATGATCCCCAAAGGCTCTTCTAGCTGTAAATCCTAGAACCCTGTGAATTTACCTCCTATCTGTTGGAAGTGCCCTAGGTCAGTGCCTAAGGAGTCTGGAAGATACGGAGAGACCAAAAAGAAGCCAGGAGAGAGGCAGAAAGGAGAGATGACACGCAGTGGAAACGCTGGGAGTGTCAGAAATCACTAAAATAATTAACTGAGAGCTGGAGAAGACTTAGGAGATTATCATAGGGAAGAGAACCCAAGCACACAGACCATTAAGAAGCTTGTCCAAGGTCATACCCCTAGTAAGCCACAAAGCCAGGAGTCAAACCCAGATCTTCAGACCCCACATCCAGGATTCTTTCCAATCAGCCTGGATTCTTAGAGCCAGATGGGTGAATAGAATAGGGTGTCCTGGAACTCAGCCTTTTAAGCACAAACTGGCTAACAGCCAACCTCCTGGAGACTGCCCTTGTACAGATCCTGAAAAGGAAAAGGTGCAGGAGAGAGAGGCCAAAGATTTGGGGGGAGGGAGGGGAGAGGTAGAAACAGGCAAGAGTGAAGTCCTAGGAAGTGCAATGAATTTGAATTGAAAACATCTGAGTTTAAACCCTGACTCAACCTTCTCTACACTAAGCAAGTCACTTAACCTCTGAGACGCAGTTTCTTACCCGTAAAATGAACAGAGATAATCCCAAGAAAGAAAAGTGGTGGAGAGCTGTGGTTTAGTGGATAGGGGACTAGACTGGGGGGCTAATAAAATAAATAAATAAACAAACAAATAAATAAATGGAAAAATAAATGAATGAATGAATGGACAGATAGATAAATAAATAAGTGAATGAATAAATAAATAAGTAGATGAATAAATAAATAGATAGATAGATAGATAGATAGATGATAGATAGATAGATAGATAGATAGATAGATAGATAGATAGATAGATAGAACAAGATAAGATAAGATAAGACAAGATGAGATAAGATAAAAGGGTCCTCATCTCAGTGTGGAGTGTGGCACTCTGAGAAACAGAGAAACACAGAGCCTAAGACTGGTGACTGAGGAGGTTCCAGGAGGTGTGGGAGGAGGACTGAGCACTCCTCCCAGTAGAAAGAAGAGGTAAGACTATTCTGTCTCCTTTAAAAGCCCATCCCTCAGCTGAGTCTAGGACCCCCACAAATTGCCCAAGGGATTTCTGGAGCAGGAGGCCAGTGAAGCAGGGAGCTGGGATGTTGAAATGAGTCCTCATTCTCAGCCAACTTAATTACTTCGTACCGAATCATTATTAGACACAAGACACAATTGCTGGTGCGGTGGTGTAGTAGGTAGGTAGGTAGGTAGGTAGGTAGGTAGGGTGCTGGGCCCTGAGTCAGGAAGACCTGAGTTCAAACCTGGCCTCAGACACTTACTAGCTTTGTGACCTGGGGAAAGTCACTTAATCTCTGCCTTAATTCACTGGAGAAGGACACATGGTAAATCGCTCCAATATCTTTGCCAAGAAAACTCCATGGACAGTATGGTCCATGGGGTCACAAAGAGTCAGACATGACTGAACAACAGCAGCAAAAAACAATCACAGCTAGCAAGTAGATACATTTAACCAAGCAAACAGGAAATGGAATCTGGGGAGAATTATTCCACAATTCACTTGTATGAATTATCCCAATCTATACAGGTTAGGATAGAGAATAAAATGCACAAGTGTTAAGGGGCTCTCATATTTGTGAATGAGATAAAATCTTAGTTCAACAAAGGAAAGAAAGCCTTAATTGCCCAACCCATCACAGAATTTTAAAATTGGAAGAGATCTCAATGCCCACCTTTCCTTGTTGTTAAGTTGTTTCAGTTTTGTCTGACTTTTTGTGACCCTATTTGGGATTTCCCTGGCACAGATTCGCCATTTCCTTCTTCAGCTAATTTTACAGATGAGGAAACTGAGGCAAACAGGGTGAAGTGACTTGCCCAGAATTACATAGCTTGTAAGTGTCTGAGGTCAGATTTGAACTCCAGATGAGTCTTGCTGATTCCAGGACTGATGCTCTATGCACTATGACGCCAACTAGCCACCCAACCTAGGAGAGGTTTTCTCAGTTTTTCTCTGGGGGCAAGCATAGTTCATATATTTACACAGTGTTATTTATTTTGTTATTTTCATTATTTTGCATTTACGTTACTGAAGGTGTGTATATTGCTGTCCTGGTTTTGTTTATCTCATTCTGCATCTATTAATACAAATCTTCTTATGGTTCTCTAAATAATTCATAGTCATTGTTTCTCATGGTTTAATAATGTTCCATTACATGCATGTACTAAAATTTATCTTAGCTATAAACAGATCATGGTATATCAATTTTCCCAGATGCCATTTCCCCAGCCTTCCCTATATGGAGAGATGCCATCAGAGCAAGATTTATGTCTGTGCTAGACTCCCTTTACACATATGATTCATCTGAGTGACATGATCGGGGGTCACCAAGAGCAGCCAACATTCTATTACCATCTCTTTATTTATCTTGAACATCATGTCCCTATTAGCCATTTTCATTGTGTTCTTTCCAGTTCAAAAGTCATTCTTCATTGCAGGGAAAGCAAGCAAAATAACAATGAAGACGTTTTGCCTTCTCTCTGTTGTTGGTTATCAGCGTCTTATCCTCCCCCCAACTCACCCAAACATCAGTAATGCCTTCTTTAATGTTCCCTCTTTTCTTTCTAGCCTCAGATCATTCTTAGTTTTATAGCACTCCTGACACTATGCAAACAGAATCAAGCCACCGTTTTGTATTTATCCTCTCTTACCTTCCCTTGCTTCCAGTCTTTTATCGTTTTTAATTTTTAAAATGTTTTTAAAATTAATTTATTTATTTTTAGTTTTCAGCATTCACTTCCATAAGATTTTAAGTTCCAAATTTTCTCTCCATCTCTTCCCTCCCCCCACCTCAAGACGGTGTGCAATTTGATATAGGTTTTACATATATATTCATATTGAACCTATATTCACGTTAATCATGTTGTAAAGAATTAGAACCAATGGGTGAAACCACAAGAAAGAAGAAACAAATAAAAAAAGGAAAAAGAAGAGAGAGAGAGAGCAACCTGTATTCAGACTCCACAGTTCTTTTTCAGGATGTGGGCAGCATTTTCCAACATGTGTCCTTTGGAGATATCTAAGGAGTCTGCATTGCTGAGAAGAGCTAAATAAGTTAGTCGTTGCACAGTATGGCTGTCTCCTGTTTCTGCTTACTTCACTCAGCATCAGTTCATTCAAATCTTTCCAGGTTTTTCTGAAGTCTGCCTGCTCATCATTTCTTATAGCATAGCAGTATTCCATCACATTCATATACCACAACTTGTTCAGCCATTCCCCAATTGATGGGCCTCCTCCCAATTTCCAATTCTTTGCCACCACAATAAGAGCTGCTATAAATATTTTTGTAAATGTGGGTCCTTTTTCCATTTTTATGATCTCTTTGGGATATAGGGCTAGAAGTGGTATTGCTGGGTCAAAGGGTATGCACAGTTTTATAGCCCTTTGGGCGCAGTGCCAAATTGCTCTCTACAATGGTTGGATCAGTTCACAATTCCACTAACAATGCATTAGTGTTCCAATTTTCCTACATCCTCTCCTATATTTATCAGTTTCCTGTTTTGTTATGTTAGCCAATCTGATAGATGTGATGTGGTACCTCAGAGTTGTTTTAATTTGTATTTCTCTAATAAGAGTAAATTAGAGCATTTTTTCATGTGACTATAGATGGCTTTAATTTCTTCATCTGAAAACTGCCTCTTCATATCCTTTGACCATTTATCAATTGGACCTTCCAGTTTTTTTAAAAAAAAATTTAACTTGGATAATGACTTCACTGTGCATGTGCATCAGTCTCAGATACTTCCCATTTTTCCTCCTTGTCAAAATTGTTTCTTTCCATATACTCAAAATTTCATTATCAATAGTTTTTCATCCTTCCTTGGCTAACAACAATCGATCACTAAACACTATTCTAGGTGGTAAGGATGCAAAAACAAGAAGGGAACAATACCTGCTCTCAAGTGCGTCCATTTTTTCCAGAGTGGCAATCTGTACACATACAATTCCTTCAAAAAAAGTGGTCCATAAGATCCAAACTAGCCTTCCTCTGGAACCTTTGAAATCTGCTCCCTGAAATTCTACTGTCTGCGTTAGATTGTTCTTGGCTTTCCCTTCCTCCTGTAATGCAAACTAGAAAAAAAAGAGCAACCACTTTCCTCAAGGGCTCCTGTCATTTCCACTTTAGCAAAAAAATAGCTCCTCCTTACTGGTGACAATTAGATCCAGAATACAATGGCCCCTTACTAGTTCTTACACCGTTTGAAAACAGATGGAAAATGTTCTGTTTT